GGGGGGGGGGGGGGGGGGGTACTCATAGTCGTGCATGCCGTAGTCATTAGACCATTGACCTCGCATCCCTACAAAGTCGGGACGGAGCACTCAGTGGTTTCACCGGACCAGGCTAGCACATGAAGGGCGAGGGGTTCCTCGGGAGAGACATGGAGGACCCTGACTTATCGTTTGGAAATTACGAAGTCTTGGTTGTTGCTTGAAAGCTATTGTTCACGCTAGGGACCAAGCACCCTGGAGGAATTTTTGGAGAGGAATAGCGGCGGTGAGAGAATCTTGACGTGGTACAGTATTGAATTCTTGTCCCCAACAAAGGTTTAGCAGCGTGTAATCCCCATGGTGCAGTGGATGGTGCATCTTTTGGTCGTTTTCCAAACGATGCGGCGGTTCCTAACAGTTGTGTCTTTAAGAGTGTTGTAGAGTCAGCGCAACTAAACGTTTGTCGTGTTTTTTTTTCTATCGAATTATTTGGCAACATCGCTTGCATGTCATGCCCCTGCTCTCGTTTCTCCGTCAGGGGGTTCTTTCCTTTGTTCGAGCTGTGCGGGTCTATCATGGCCATGAACCTGGCTCGTCGCGACATCTTGGGGGACAGGATGAACAGGCTGCAGCTGTTCTTTGTCCCGGTGTCGCTCAACGCTTACGCGGTTTTCAGGGTATGCAAGCAAGCACTAGTGCATGCATGCTTGCTCGTGTCCTTCATGTGTTTAGCCGTTTCTGTCTGCCAGCCGCAGTTGGGTCGTTTTTGGTTTGATAGGGCTACAGGTTTGGCTTTCGTTGGTGCAGCCGGTGCGGTTTGTTCCATTCTGCATGTGTTTCTCTGTTGCTTTGCGCACACAGCTGTCTGACCTTTCTTTGCGCCAGCATGCGTACCTGCCGGGCTTCGAGCTCCTGTTCTTCTCGTCAAGAGTTATATCCATGGCAGGCATCGGGTGCTCTTGTCAAGAGTAGGTACAGTAGGCTGATTGTGCACATGCGCATGCATGTCTCGCTATAAAATAGCAGGCATGCACGCTGCTGCCCCCACTGCTCCACAAAGGAAATGGTCCCCGCCTAATGCTCCTCTCTCCCGCATTCCCTGAAACAGGGCACCAAGCCGCTGTTCAAGTGGGCGTCGTCCAAACCGTGGGACGAGCTCCAGGTCAAGGCTTGGGTGTTCCCCAGGGGCATGACGCCGTTCCAACGAGCGCGGAAGGGCTTCGCGAGCGTGGCTTGGTCTATCGTCATCTTGCGGGTGCGCACCTACAGTATTTAGTCTCGATGGTACAGCTCGCGTGGCTTACGAACCAACGACCCTCCCTTAAACTCCGACCCCAGCGGCAAGGAAATCTAACCTGTAGTGTTGAGAAATTCCATTGCTGCCAATGTTTTGCTCGGGGCAAAGTCTATCCTCGCCGCCACAAACCACAAAGCCACGACGGTTCTTTGTTTGTTCTGTTCCGATGTAGTTGAAAACCAAACGGCTTGACCGAAATTGTTGTCTCGTGGGCTCAAAGATCGGGAACCAATAATCGATAGATACGTAAAATCCCCTCCGGCTAGGACACCGAACCCGGTTCGATTCCATCTATTCGATAGATAGCCAAGTGCCCCCAGAAGAATTTCGCGTGACTATTATAGGATGTTTTGGAAATCTGATGGCCTGATGACGAACCCAGCATATGCCCTCATGGATGTTGAGTCCAATCAATATCGGTCTAGATAGATGCGTTCCTCAAGCACTGTAGCGTTGACTCGAGAGCAACTCTGCTGTTTTCTAATTGGGGAGACGCCTCCTTCCAATTTTTTGGCCAGACCTCAGTCCAAACGAATGTAATATGTAGTCTGTGCGTGCCATCTCTGATTGTCTCTTTTGTCTCTTTGTGCATCGAAATAAAAGGTCACGGCCCACGTGATCAAGACCTACTGGCGCCTCAACCGCCTGCACAGCTCCCGCCTGCGGCAGCAGCACGAGATGGCTGCGGCGGCGGCTGCTGCGGCGGAGCAGCGGGCAGCTTTTGCCCTTCAAGAGGCCATGGCTGGCGCAGGCAGAACCTCGTAGGTTGGCGCGGCAAGCAGAGACCGCATGTACCCCTCGGGGTTTGGTTGCAGATGCTTAATGAATTTTCCAGCCTGAGTCCGTGTCTATGTTGTACAGTATGTTGCTCTCAGGGAATATCTCGAGGCTTCACCTCGTTAGCACAAACTTTTGATTGAACGACCCCTCTCGTTCAGTCCGAAAGTAGGCGAATCTTGGATAGTTCTGTGCAGGAGTTTTTGAGTTTTTGACCTACCGGCGACTACGATGGAAGTTCTTCTCTGCGACCCTTAGATGCAGGCCGCGGTCCGTACATTTCTCCAGCAAGAGACGCGTACCAACCTATATGTAGTTACCGTACCGCAGATCGCTGTCCACCCCGGTCCGTCTTCCGAAGGTGTTTACTTGTATGCAAAGGTTGTCTGCCCTCTCACTGTTTCGTTTTGCTGTGTGTCCTTGTCTATGTACACTGATGTATGCTTTGGTCTGCATATGGGTACCTAGGGATCTTCTCTTCCACCCAGACATCGAGGCTCTTCGGTAAATGGGAGAGGCGAAGACCGCGCGGCACACATGATACATAAGGATTACAAGCGACGTCAACTTTTTTTTATTGTCTGTGAGGCGAGTGGCACATTTTCCGTGTTGCTGGAAACATGTGCATGCCCTTGTATATACTGCTGTGTAAACTTTCGATGTGTGGGGGGCGGGAGTAGTAGGTGGGGCGGTGAGAGGTGTGGCTTGTGGTGTGATGGGCGGTCGTAATCAATCAAGAAGAACCTGCGAACTTTTCAACACGTAGTCTAGTACGTTTCGTCTGAAGGGTTTCCAGGGTGTGCTTGCCCGATACGAAGAAACCCATCGCACAACTCCGAATTTTTGGTGTATGTAGTGCTTTTCTGACCCCCAAGGAACTGAATTAACAATTGAGAATTGTTTGTTTTTCGCTCCTCTTCATTACTTTTCGACTTCGAAACTGCTGTTGCAGGTTCCGTGCTTGCTGCTTGTTGTGGTTGTGGCTATTGTTTGTTAGTGTTTTTTCGAAGAGAAAGGGTTTCTCGGCTTCATTTGTACCATGTCGGAGGCCGTCCGTTGTTGTCGTCGTGTTACCCAGGCTCTACTTCCGGTGGAATCGCCCTTCTTTTAGCAACGTCGTCGGAAGTGTGTTGAGCTGCTGTGTGTGGTTGTTGTTTGTTGAGGACTTTTTCATACCATCCATTATGTATTGTTGTTTGTTCAAAACTTTAGCATGTACGCATGTACCATCCATTATGTTACGAACCTCACAACAGGGGTCACACATCATACATCGGATGCACGCGTCTTTATCTTTTTATCCCGTACCCTTTCTTGAAGGCTTGAAGCACACAGATTCATAGCACCTCTAGTTCTTTGTTCCTCTTGTGGGCTACAAATGGCCGCTTTATAGGTTCTAGTGTGGGGTTCTTACCCGGGCCTACAGATGGTGGTGCTCACATGTTATGTTCGACAGGTAAGACTATGGATACAACGTTGATGAGCATGAAGTTCTACAGTAGCTGCCAAGTTGCTGCATGGAGGTCAGAAC